GTGACAAAAAATTTCTGCCTGGGTCTCCTTTGTGTCGGGACGATGGCCCTGATATTATAGATTGAGGCATATTTAATATTACTATGTATTAATCTTAAAATGCTCAGCATAAACATTTTCATTTGTTCCAGAAGAAATCATCACGGGGAAGTTGAGAAAATTCTATAAATAAACCTGGAAATTTCTTTTTGTTGTTGTTTTACATAAATGTTAATTTATTTATTTTTGAGAGGGGGAGAGAAGGGGGGAGGCAGGAGAGGGATAGAGAGAGGGAGAGAAGCGGGGGAGGCAGGAGGGGGGTAGAGAGAGGGAGAGAGAGAGAATCCCAAGCAGGCTCTGTGCTGCCAGCTCAAAGTCACAAACCATGAGATCATGACCTGAGCCAAAACCAAGAGTCAGACGTTTAACCAACTGAGCCACCCAGGCACCACAAACCTGGAAATTACTAGTCAGTGATTTGGGAGTACCATATTTCTTCCGGTTGAGGCTGAAAAAGGTGGTAGAGTTTAGTTTTATCCAGAAATTCCTTGTCACTGCTCCTCTAACCCCCATAGGATTTAAGCACTGGTGTCTGCCTCAACCTGCAAAGGAGTTTGGTCAAACATCTTTACTATGGAAATAAGATACTTCTTCTAGAAGTGGAATCCGGACAGCTTCAAATGCCCATGTGATTCCCTTTGCACCTCTTCCTCTGAACCTTCCTTCTATTTTATCTGAACCCAAGTCACACAGCTTTCCTGTGAAAGTACACAGTACAAAGCACTCTGGGAGGGTCGGCCACCACAGACATTAGATGATAAATTCCACCTCTTAACAACACTGAGTGCAGGACTGTGTCTAATTTCCCCCCATCATGTCTTTGATAGGCCTGCAGAAATATTTTTAAACTAAATGAGTAAAGCTGTTCCCTCTCCTATAGGTGAGTATTAAGCTGCTCATAGGGGTACTTTGCTTTACTGAAGCAATGCTGTTGAATTTTCTCACAATATCAACATCATAACTCGATACAATGTATCATGGAAACGGGCTTCTATCATTGTTTCAAAGTTCACATTCTGCACAAATTGTGGTAGTAGGTCAATGGATTTCTGTGGCAGATGAATTATTTGGTTTAGAAAAGCAAGAAAAACCCACATTTAAAACGCTTTTCTCCAAAAATTGGAAGAAAACGCAACAAAGACAGTTGATTTAGGGTGGTGGCATTGGGAATGACCCTTTTTCTCTTTGTCTAGCCTTTTCCTCATGCTGAAGTAACATCATAACAGTAAGTAATAAACATGTTAAAATATTCCTGGGAAAATTTGAGTTTGTTTTTACAATGTATTTACAAGACAACGCCCAAAAAATGATAAATAAAATAAAAATATTTGTGTATTCAGACTCGATGAAAATGAAATGAATGTTTCGCTTGGAAGTTCCATAGAAGGGGTCAGGCACTGACATTATACACGAAGACCAAATTGAGAGCCTACGGTGACAGCGAGCTCTGTAGCATCTAGGAGTTACACAGAAAAGCAGTCTGGTATGTTGGTTAACAACACAAACTCTGGTGCCAGGCTGCCTTGATCTGAATATTCTACCACTCTTTATTAGTTGTGTTTTAGCCTTGAATCAACTACGTCACCTCTTTTTGCCTCGGTTCCTCATCTGCAAAATGGGGATGATAATAACAATGATAATCATAGTACTTTCCTCATAGGGTTGTTGACTTCATAAATGTCAGCTTCATGTCAGCTTAGTTTTGACAGTTTCTAATTTTCACGTCTGCACTTTACAGAACTAGTTCTTGTAATTCCTACTGCAGTTCCCTGAGGCGGATTCCACTATATCCACTGGGTAAGTGAAGACACTCAACCTTGGAAAGAAAGGGGAGTTGCTCAAGATTACATAGCTGGCACATTTTGGAGTGGGGACCTGAACACAAGTCAGTTTAACTCTAAACTAGACCACATGTGTGCAACACACACACACACACACACACACACACACACACACCCCATTTTAATACCCAAGAACAAGCAGTCTGCACTGGTAACGAAGCTATACTCTACCCATAGTTCAGTTGTTAGACTATAAACCAAGAGGAAATTCTCTTTCTTTTTGCTTTCTTCAGCCACCTCCATGCCTTTTCCTTTTAAACATCATTCCACCCACCCCGCATATTGCTCTACTCTTGCAATTCCTATAGTCTTTTCTTTCCTTTCATCACTGCTTTACCGATCTTCCTAAAATTGGCATACTCCAAATCCTGTATTCGTGTCATTGTTGCTTTAGCAACAACAACAACAAAAATCTAGGTTTCCCCACACTTGTGGGGAAGTATTTATCATTCTAAGGAAATTATACTTAACGTTTTCAGTATCTTCCTGCACCTCAGGATGGGGAGCAGTACATGCCTACTACAGTAAGATCGCAACTTACTAACATAGGACCAGGGCTGGTGTCTCAGTCCCACAAGAGAAAACAGGAAGTTGTAAGGCAGTGTAGGTGAGATGTGGGAACGTGGTGGGGATTAATACTCTGGGTGCTGAGTCCAAGTTAACTCGTTTTAAGTAAGCACTTAGGTTACAGATTGGATGGTTCTAATTTAGTACCATCAGCTAATATTCATCATGCGCCTCACATATTCAGCACCAATAGGTGCTGTGGAGATGAAAAAATAGGTCTATGACCCCACATTAAAATAGTTTTCTCATTCTGTTAGAAAGGTCACATGCTCTGGGAAGGTCTTCCTTTGTAGCACTTCTTTTGCTTTTATTTAAGAAATTCTGGGAGATGGAATGTTGCTGGATTCATGGATCGCTTAATAAAGCCAATTAGGTCTTTAAAAAGAAGAGTAAGAAATTGCAAGAAGCCCAGAGATATGTTCAAAGCGTTTTGTCTGCCCTGTTCCACAACAGAAAATAAAAAATTTGTTCCACAATTATCATAAATAAGAATATCTGCTTATAATGAATCATTACTAGGCTATACATTGGATTGGATAGAAAGGGGGAGACGAGGGGTTTGACACAAATGTTACTCACTTTAAAAGGGCAGAGGAGGGAGTTAGAAGAATTTGGGTGGCAGGAAAGGTGTGAGGGAAGAACTAGTTCTCTACCAGGGAGTTTTCTATTCTGCTGTGATGGCAAAACATGAAGTAGCAATAATTGATACTAAAGACTATAAATACCATCTATTCCTGAGTGTTCTTGGTTTTGAAAATCAGAGAGAAGAAATGCGCTTTCTCTACTTTTTAAATGGTAATTACCTTTACCCAGGGGCAGCACTTAAGGCAAAATGAAATGTGAAATAAGGAGTATTTCTAAAGAGCAAGAATGGAAGTGCTTTGAGAAAGAACGGCACAAACCCATTTGATTTCTGAAACTCAGAAGGAAATGAAATCAAATTAATTTGTGGGCTGAGTCTTCTTCTAATGCAGTTCCTACTTGGGCAGGGATGGGGGAGTTCAGCAGGGAGAGGGGGCTGGGAGTCATACCCAGAGATTAAACTCTAGAAATGGGTGTGTTTCCTCCAAAGACTTGGGTCACTGGATGAAAATGTTAAACAGAAATTTCGAAGTGCAAGACGTCAAGCCCATGAGACGTTATTTTCTCATCTGGAAAGCTTTTCTCATGAGATGTACAGAAAGCAGGGACCAGACAGTGATGAAGATGGTTGAATTGATCCAATTTGCAAAAACTCTGAAATAGTGCTTGCCTTTAATTTGATTGGGAAAATGTGATTTATTAATAATACAGCAAATGGTGTGGAGACAGCCTTTCATTTTCAAATATGCACTGCTGTGGTTTCACAGCACATAAACGTTTATGGCTGGATGTAAAAGATCACGGTGCCTGAGTACAGAAGTACTGAGGCATTGCTGAACACCGCAGTGATGCTTGAATAGGAATGACCCAATGGACTTAGGGAATCACTACGTTCCATGCATTTATTTTAATAACACCTCGGTTATTGAAGGAAGGCTAAGAAATGGGACATGCCAAAATCCTGTAAAGTTGGACTTAGGTCCATTGAATACTTTCTGTTCCCCAGGTATCCATGAAACCAACAACTTTCTCTCCTCCTCCAAGTCTTTGCTAAAATATCACCTTCTCAATAAGATCAAATCAACCACTCCTATTTAACACTGCAATCCTAGGGTCACAGTGCAACATACGCCCATGGATGTGTGCTGATTCTCCTTTGCACAGAACTTCCTTTTTCTTTTTCCTTTTCCTCCTTTGTTTAATAGCACCTGGACCTCTAACACATGATATGTTTCTTATATATAGGTTTGTTGTAGGATATTCTTTATTATCAGCTTCTTCCTGCTACAATGTTCAGTTTCACGAGGGTAGTGGTCTTTTTCTGTGTTGTTCACTAGTGCATGCCAAAACCTTAGAATAGTGACTGACACACCGTCAGATATTCAATAAATATTTGTTGACTGACAAACACCTATTCAGAAGGGTGTAGGGCCTACCAGTAATTTTTTTCTGTCTTCTTTTTGAATGATGGCTGGCTCTTGAAAACTAGAACACCTGTCCCTTTTCACTAGCTTGCCTTTATTCCAAACATTTAGTTTATACAGGGTATTTGAACAGTCTCCTCCAGCACCATGACTCCAAACAGCAGAGATTCCACAAGTAGAAGCTTTTTTTTAACAGCTGACAAACAAGTATGGTAGATAAATGCAGAAACTCGAAGAAAATAATGCTGGGTACCAACCATTAATTCTGATTTAGTGATTGTTTTGACCCTTCAAAGCACAACTTTCAATCCCAGCGGACTGAAAGCAGCAGAATGTCTGTGATTATGTTTGCTTTTACAACTTTAACCATAATCATCAGTGTAGGAACACAGGGCACCAAGTCAGCTTCTCTAAATTATGTACAGCCAATCTCTCCCTTTCAAAGCACCAGAGTGCTTCTGACCTAGTTAAATCCCTGCCATTCTGAACAGGCTTAATAAAAAGACTTTTTTTTTTTTTTTTCTATTTTTTGGTTCTCTATACTCACTTGTTGCCCAGTAACCAGGAAGATTGATCCTTCTTTTCCATGTACCACTTGTCGGTAAATGTGGTCGAGAATTAGGAGCTCACTCCAGCAATTCTGAAGCAGCTTCATTTGGTCATCAACCTACAGAAGAAATAGAAAAAAAAAATGACACTGTTATTGACCACATTTTTTGTTTTTGCATAATTTTCTACGTAAGAGAACTCACTAAAAGCAAGAAATCTCTGCCAATGGTTTCTCGGGATTTACATCACTGCTCCTGAAAAATCATTATTTTCATTTGGACAAATACTTTATAGCCCACGTATAATACTTAAGAGTAGTATTTATAATCAATGAACTGCTAGGAAAAGGTCCTCCATTAGAACGGTCTGTCCAACGTTAACAGAGCTATTAGAGTTTGCTTATGGGAGGTACAGGTGCCTCACCCTGTCCTCAGTCCCCATTAGAATGACCCCAAATAACCTGTGCTTATGTATCTAGAGTTTAATACATGGGCCCAAAGCTGAAATAGTATATAGATATTAGCAAGCTGACAAACTGAGAAGATTTATAGAAGAGACAATTAGCATGCTGGCACAAACGACTTCTGGAGATAGAGGCGCACTGCCACACATTGTCCTCGGTGTTGACTGGGAAGTCCAAACTGCGCTACACTTTGAACCTAATAATCACCAGCCATAGTCTTGATACCAATCTGCATTTGCTTTACAGTTGCTTTGTGGTTTGGATGATTTCCCCACAAACTCACTAAACTTCAGTTTCCAGAACTGAAAAATGAACCAAGAACATTACCTCCCTCAGAGGACACCATGAGGATGAAGATGAAATGTGCTGTGCCCCAGTGGGCATTTTCATTCTTATTTCATCTTGTCCTCCAGGGAACTGGATTCTTCAATCACAAACCCATACCTATTTCATGTACAGTTCACATACACACGGTCTTAATGTGATGAGCATATTGACCCATTGCTATGGCTACTTGTAATAGTTTGCTCTTCATTCTGTATTATATACCAGCCAAAGACCCTAGTTTTAACAAATGGGGTGGCTGCATCTAGACACACACTGTGCATTTATAAAAATAGCATCTGGCATTGATATGTTGTTTGCTAGTTTTTAGCGTTTGTGTGTATTGGTTTAGATTTGACTGTCAGAACATGCCTTTGAAGTTAACCAAGCTGATATCATTTGATTCAATTTACAAATGAGAAAATAGGTCTCAGAGAGGCTAAGTGGTATGCCTAAAAAATTTTCTTTCTCTCAAGCTCTAGGTTGTCTCCAAATACATCAGGAGGTGCTAGAGACTTTTTTTTTCTTAATTAAAAAAATTTTTTTTTTAATTTTATTTTAGAGAGAGTGTGATCAAGGGAAAGGGGCAGAGGAGAGAGAGAGGGAATCCTAAGCAGCATCTATGCTCAGTAGGGATCATGACCTGGGCTGAAATCAAAACTCAGACTGAACTTACTAGGTGCTCCGGGGCTAGAATTTTGTAAATGAAATTAATTTGATATACTTTGAACAAATTCATTTTTTAAAATTTTTTAACACTTATTTATTTTTTGAGACACACAGTGTGAGTGGGGGAGAGGTAGAGAGTGAGGGAGTCAGATTCCAAAGCAGGCTCCAGGCTCTGAGCTGTCAGCATAGAGCCCAAGTGGAGCTCAAACTCATAAACTTCAAGATCATGACCTGAGCCAAATTTGGATGCTTAACCAACTGAGCCACCCAAGTGCCCCATTAACAAATTCATTTTTGAATGGCCTTTCAATGGAACACTGGATAGCTTGTTGATTCTTAGGAAGTTTCTGTTCAGATATTCATTAGTAGTGATATGAGCTTGTGACCAACTTTATACCCATGACTCTAGGACATTGTGAATATGGTCAAGAGAGCACTGAACTCACAGTACAAAGAAGGATTCAAAGCATAGTTCTCCACTTTCCAGCTATAAGAACTTGGTCAAGTCACTTAATTCTGGAAGACTTATTTCGTCACTTGGAAATATATGAGATAGTTTTTGTAAGGATAAACTAAGACAGTGGGTGGGAAATTCCCTTCATAAAATGTGAATACACGAATGAAGAAATAACAAACAGAGGACTCCTGCCTGGTAGACCACATTGATTCTGCGGAGAAGGAGAAGAGTAGTAATAGAAATTGAAACTACAATCAGGCTCTATGATCAGGAAAATGCTCTCAAAACACCTCCATCATAAATACTTTGAACCAAGGACTCCTAGGTGGCTCAGTTGGCTAAGCGTCCAATGCTCGATTTTGGCTCAGGTCATGATCCCATGGTTCATGAGTTTGAGCCCAGCATCGGGCTCTGTGCTGACAGTAAGGAGCCTACCTGGGATTCTCTCTCTCTCTCTTCCTCTTTCTCCCTCTCTCTCCCTCTTCTTCTGCTCACTCTCTCTCTCAAAATAAATAAATAAACTTAAAAAAATAGAAATACTATGAACCCATTAGTCTGTTCTGACAAAAGCATTTCATTCAATAAGTAAGTAGATATTTTTAGGCGATGATTATATGAGCGCCAGACCCAGGATATAATGATGAACAAGACAAACGTAACCTCTAGCCGTGACAATGACACTCATGAGGGTGCTTCTCAGGTATTATTAGTGGTTTAGGGGCAGGAGGTAACATTCTTCTCTCCAAGAAAATCCCCAGAGGAGTGTGTGGTGTGGCAGGCCAGGCTTTGGGCAGCAGTTGATTAGATCCATGTACACATTCTCCACAAATTGTTGTCACAGGGAGCTGGGGCCAGATGCCCGGCAACATACATGTCGAAGCATCCAGGACAGAGTCTCAGAACCGTCTCTCTCATATGCTTGGGGTGATTTCAAAACAAATCTTACTTTGCTCCGCTGGGTGTTATATTCTCATTCCAGCTGAAACAAGATCAGCATCTTATTTCAAATTAATCGGCCTGTCAGAGCAATTTGGCTTCCCTATATGTTTCTTTGTTTTTGTTGTGTGCATGTATGATCTGAAGCTTTAGTTATTTACTTAGCACACTTTTCAGGGAAACCAAAAATACTCCACTCTGAGATTGCCTCCCCCAGAAACAATAATTATGCATGTTAATGTTGCAAATAATTCCAGAGTGGGTGGGGGAATACAGACTCCTCAAAGTGTATTTATTATGCCCATTTTGGAAAAATGAAAGAGCCAGATTATCTGTGGGCTACACAGAAAAGGAGAAAAGGTGAGTGAAAATTAAAAGAAAATTAAAAGAAAAAAATAGTTTTGGAAGCCATCTCATAAAGGGGTTCGTCCTCTTCATTTGCATTTGACGGTCCCTTCTTTTCATATAGACCATGACAGAAATATTACCATAACAGTTTCCCAGCATCAAACCATGTTCCAATTGTAAAACAGAGCCTGACTTCTAGCCTTCTTTGGGGACGTTGAAGATACACTTCCAAACAAAGATATATTTTTGTCGGGGCACCTGGGTGGCTCTGTCAGTTAAGCATCCAACTTCGGCTCAGGTCATGATCTCACAGTTCGTGGGTTCGAGCCACACATCACGCTCTGTGTTGATAGCTAGCTCAGAGCCTGGAGTCTGTTTCAGATTCTGTGTCTCCCTCTCTCTCTGACCCTCCCCTGCTCATGCTGTCTCTCTCTCAGAAATAAATAAAACATTATAAAAATTTTTTTTTAAAAAGATATGTTTGTCTCATGTTCAGAAGAAGAATGTGGGGTATCATTTTCAGACATTATTCCTTTGTGTGTGTGTGTGTGTGTTAGAGAGAGAGAGAGAAATGGACACAGAGAGGAAGAGAGAGAGAGGAGAGAAGAGAAGAGCACCAGACAATTGCCAAGGAAGATATGAAGGTTCTGCTTTTGTATATCCTCTGTTAAGTTTAATTTTTTAAATATTTATTTACTTTTATTCTATTTTATTTATTTATTTATTCATTCATTTATTCATTTATTTACTTTGAGAGGGAGAGACAGAGAGAGTGAGTGCACGGGGGAGGGTCAGAGAGAGAGGGAGACACAGAATCTGAAGCAGGCTCCAGGCTCTGTGCTAACAGTGGAGAGCCCGAGGTGGGGCTCAGACTCACAAACCATGAGATCATGTCTGAAGCCAAAGTCGGTCGCTTCACCGACTGAGTCACCCAGGCACCCATTCCCCTGTAAATTTCTTACTGACGGGCTGGGTATTTCTTCATCCCCATTCTGCCCACGGCTGCCTATGTCCAGAGGCAGTAAGGAAACCGGTAGGCTTTTAAAATCTGCATATCTCCTGGTTCCTATGTTTCTTGAGAAATTGCAAGAATAGGTGAACATGTCCATTTCCCATAATTAGCACTTCATCTTTGGTTTTATATTTTGTACTGCCCAGGTCATCATTTCTTCCTCTGTGTCTAAGACAGGACCTCTATTGTAATGTCCCTGTTTTCACAATGTACTGTAACTGCGTGTTTCTGTGTCTGTGTGTCCGCCCTCCTTCAGGACCGGGGCGGCACCTAAAGTCACAATTGCCTACCACAGCACCTGGCAAAAAAACAAAACATAACAAAAACAAAACAAAAAAACATATATATGCATATATGTGTGTTTTGTAAATGCTTGTTAAAAGAGAAAACAACGACTGAATTACTTTCCCTTCTGTAAGTTTCTGCTATTCATCTGTCTATCTCTGGTACCTAGCCCACAAGACAAGCAAGCAACTCCTTCAAGTGTTTGTGGAATAAATGATAATCTTTCTCAGGCAATGAACAAAACTTATATCCGACCCTTCCCACGTGTGCTGGCAGGTCTGGGCCCTTGGCTGCCCCTTCGTAAAGACTTCTTGACTGACTGTAATTTTAACACTCTTCCTGAGCAATTGATTCCTTGTTTTAACACTCTCTGAGGGGGTTTTCCATGCCAACATTCCATTTCACTATTTTCCATAATTGATTATGCAATATTTCATGTTATCTTGAAATTGGTGAGTATGCAGCTTCATAGTGCTCTGGGTGGCATAGTTTTTATGCAGGTCTATGAATAAAAGGCAGGGTAAATTTGATGACTGACTTGCTCTTTATCTCTAGATAAGAAAACCTGGCAATTTTGAAGATATTTTTTCTTTAGAAAACGGAGTTATAGGTGACACGGGGTGG